CGTGCGTCTAATTAACAACTACTTCGATCCTACCTTAAACTATTAATAATCGAGAGAAAAAAACTGCTCTACGAACAAAAACGGTGTAATAATTCGTAACAAAAAGGGAGGAAAAGAAGAAGAACGAATGAATAAAAATAAGAGGCGGAAGAATCTCGTTAGGTCCCAAATAGCGCCGAAAATTTTGAGGATCAACGCGACAGACGTTATTACGTTTTCTCCATGTACATAAAAAAAAAAAGGAAAATCCTTAGGGACATCTCTCGACCTACATTTTAACGTTATTGTTTTTACGATAGTTTTAAAAATCGTAAAACCGCACCGAGGGAATACGACAAAACGGGAAGTTAACAATATACCCGCGTGGCTTTCCCCGCTTCCTCGAGACCGGAGGTTCGGTTCCGCCGGAGTTCCTAAGTAAAAAAGGCCCTCTGAGTCGCAGTCGAGGCCCGGGATATGGAGTCCGAGGATCGGTAAATGTTTTAGATGTGTTACATAGATTCCAACGTATACTCGGATCCTCGTATCTTTGGACTCTCTGGTTGTCACGCGTCCCTCCCCCCGGATTCGGAGATCGTTGGGTGACGCGAATTCTTGGATCTGCAAATTCTCGTGTCCTCGGAAGTGTAGATTGTTGAACTCTTAGATATTTGCGCCACCTAGGGATTTATAGATTCCCGAATTTTTTGATCCAAGAATTCCTTAGCTCTTAGATCTCGCTTGTGCAACGAATCCAACCGGCTCTTTCAGGAGAGACATCATTTTTCCTCTTTTCTTCGTATCTGTTCGTTGAATAAGGTGTTCTCCATCTCGAGATACCTTAAAGTTCGATATGATTACCTTCGACCCGCGTAAACGAACGGTTGAGGCTATTAGGGCCAGGACGACCAATCCTTACAGATCCGTCGGCAGAATTTCATTCCCGCACTAGAACTCGATCTTTCGTTGGCGTACATATTTCCGGGATTATCGAGCCTGTACGCCGCGTTTATCGGGCTACGCGGTAATCCCATGTTAAAGAAGATTCGTTCGTTCAAACCAACTAATCGTCGTCTCGAAACGGAGTCTCGAGGGAACGCGCCGGGGAATCCACGTAAATCGACTTGGCTTTTCAGAGACAACGACACAACGCATTATAAAGTAATAATAATAACTTAACGTTAATCGATTATTATTACGATGACTCACATCGCGAAAGGTGATGACGATGATAATGATCATTCTGTACTAGGCTGTCCACGGATTATCGCATTTCCCCTTGAGCACGACTTGCGGAAGGTTAAGTGGGAACAATGACGTACATTCGAGCGTCACGATTAATTCTCGACGAGCGATTTCGATCGATTACCAACCAACAATACGTTATCTCTCGTTTATTACTATATATTACTACTGTTACTCTTTTAATTACTTCATTTCAATCTCTTGTACCGCGAAATCAACGATTTCAAAAACTACATATTTCGGTTGTAAAAAAATTTACGTTTTTATATTTAATATTTCTCCAACTCGCGCGCGCGGCTTACCCGTATGATCGTCATTGTTGCCTGGACGCTTGAACGCAAGTCATTGTCTATTCTCTCCGGAATGTCGGCGAGGGGAAGCGCGGGGACACCCTGCGAGTACACCCGTAGTTAGAATTGTACAAGAAGTTAGGGCGTTAAGCGAGGTATATCATTAAGAATGAAGTTAAACAAACAAACAATGTGGTTAAATAGATAGACCTTAGCTTTATACATACGACAAAAAGAGAAAAAAGGGTGCTGGAATAATATTCATGAGAATTCGAGAGAAAAACGGAGAGAGAGAGGGAGAATGTGAGAGAGCGAAAGAGTGTGTGAGAGTGAGAGGGAGAGAGTGCGAGTGAGAGCGAGAGAGAGAAAGAGAGAGAGAGAGAGAGAGAGAGAGAGAGAGAGAGAGAGAGAGAGAACTTTGCCGATTGCCTGAGAATCGCGGAAGGAAGAGCGTTAAAAAGAGGACTTCGCATTTCCGACTGTCTGTTATCCGACAGGAACGATTCAAACCAGCATGTCCGAGCGAACTTGTGCGATGTTTGTGGGAACGAGTTTCATTCGTCGCTGTCACAGGATTTCCGTATCGTCGCGGAGCGTTACACTAATCCTTACGTTCGTCTGTGTTACTCTGTATTGGATGTGCGTTGTACAATTAATATATGTTATCGCCTTTTCTCTGAATCCACACTGGAACGCGTGAGACTACACCAAACGGTAGGTTTCGTAACGAAACTGTACAAAAAGAAGAAGAAAAAGAAAAAAAAATAAAATATCTCTTTCTCAAGAGAGATACTTTTGTAGATCGTAGAGGGATGAAAACACGTCACTGATATTCGATATAGGTCAGAGATCACAACGTGGGAAAAATTCTCGATGGTTTAGATAGAGTCCCTCTGTCCTATTTGGTGTCGACGTTCGTCATATCTGTTCTTGACGACAGCGTGCGTTCGATATTGTTGCGGACCAGACTCTTCGTGATTTCGTTAAACCGAGAAGCAATACTGTTGATGCCTATAATTACTATTATCGAGCGAAAGCTTAAATAAATGACGATTAAACCAATCCCGGAACCCTAATGCGAAATCATTGATCCCAACACTGCACTAGTTTCATAATTGCGATTGTGATATTTCGCTAAACTGAAGGGAATTCGCGTTATTGTTTACTCTCCACGGCTACACACGATTTTATTTATTGACAAATAATTCAACGTAATTATATATAGTTCGGAATGCGACGGGATGTCTCGGTTCGTACTCGCTTACGGTGAAACGTAATTTCTCCAATTAGGGTTCTGGGGTCGAGACGATGAGGAAAATCTGAGGGAAAAGAAAATACCTTCGCGACAGCTTTTCGCAGATATGAAATGTCTCCGCACAAAAGGCAAACGTTTCAGCAGGTGTCGCGATAGAGTGATTCATTGGGGAGAAATAATTACGAGCGTGCACGGGAGTTAATTTCGGGCTGAAACGTGACTCAAAGAGCTCGGCCCGAGCTTACTTTGACCTTATTAATTAGGTATCTGCGAGGAGGTGTCCTTAAATTAGAATGACTTAGAGTAAAAAAGCACGCTCGAGGATCTTAGTGACACGAAGCAGGAGTGAGGAAGCTTGTACGAGTATCGCACGAAGCTTGCTCGGAAAATGAATGGAAAGTCGCGAGTTCATTATCGATCTTGAATCTTCGAAAGCTGCGCGTCCATTCTTTCGTTCTTCTTAGGTTTCCTAGAATCGGCGGATCCATGGATCTCTGGATTGCAGAATCCACACAGTCTCTGGACTGGACTGGGATTCTTAAATTAAAGAATCCAAGAATATCAAGAGAGGCCAGCGATAAAGCAATAAGTCTAATCAAAAAATACATATATAGGATAACTTACTTTTAACGCATTATTTTATAGTAGCGAATTCTTTGATAAATCTGAGCATGACTTTACCTTGGCCTTACTTTGGCGAAAAGGTTTCTCAAGACTCTCAAATTTACGGCATCGTATATCTTTGTAAATAAGTATCAAATGAAAGTTTCGTTAAAGAAAACTCTACTCTTAATGCGTTATTGTATAATAGTAAATTCTTGACAAAATTTAAGGATGATTTCATTTTCAAGGAAAACTCTATTTGAAATTAGCTGAAAAACGTAGCTTTCCATTTTGGACACTTTAATATGAAAATTATTAGCGCCTCGGTATTTTTGCTGAGGAAAATTTAATTGTAGAAAATGTGCCAAAGAATTTGATATTAAAGAATAATGCGGCAAGAAGTAGGACACCTTGTATATATAAAAGACGCGTTCTCCGAAACTTCATCACAAGCATCAGAAGGATCATTGCCGATATGTGCAATCTCAAGGGAACTACTTCGAAAGTAATCGTATTATATTATATTAATAGAGAAAAAAAATATATTTTCTTTCTGGAAGAGAGAGAGAGAGAAGATCTTTCTCATTGTACTCTAGAATCTTATTACTTTATCGCCGCACCTCGTACGATTCCTTAGCGTTTAGCTAAACTTCGAACTTTTAACTTTAAGATCTCGTGCATCTGAATTTCCAATATTAAATGTCCATCCTTAAATCAAGAAACCGTGAACATATTGAATTCGTACGTATTCTCTTTGCTCTTTGAAAATCCGGGATTTTCGCGTCCTCGAGCCTCGGAGGACCACTTTTGCGGCGGATGGAGGAAACGCTAGAGAAAGAAACAGTGGAAGCTCGCGTGAACAAAGAAAGCGTAAACGGGACAGATGGCGGAGGAATAAAACTCTTGTATAAAGTAGCGTGCGTAGAGCAATTAACCTTAATCGATAAAGGAACACGAACGAGTTTATTGTTGAATATAATAATAATGTATTATGTAACATTAAAACAAAGAATAAAAAAAAAAGAGAGAGAGAGAGAGGACGACGATGTGGAGGAGTAGGAAACGGCGAAGTTGAAGTAGGCGATGATGATGATAATATTATATATTGTTGTTAGATATATATATATATTATATATATATTATATATAAAAAATAACCTAGGTATAAGCGACCACCTAATCACGACACAAGTATACACTCTCGCAGGATATACAGGGTGTCTCGAAGAAAAAATGTATTCCAGTAGGAGACGCTTACTGCTCGAGTAATTTGCGTTCGTTTTTTTTCTAGCGACGACTTAATCCGAGATATTTGTTGAAGATTAATAAAAAGCGAAAACAATCCGAACGTGTCTCATTTTTTTGTCATTACCTCAGACGGAGTATGGACGAATTTAGGTCGTTGCTGAGATACACGTACTCGGGTGAAGATTCGCGTGTTCGAAAAATGAAGAATTCGTCCATTGGCCGTGAACTGAAAGCAATCACGTCCAGACGCAATGACTCGCGTTCGAAAAGCGTTTCTGCTGTGCACGCGTATTTCAAGTACGTCGACGAGCTCGGCCCTGTTCGCGCAATCGAATTCCAATTTCGAAAGTCGCGCGACAGCAATTTCTGCCATATGATCCTGTATTACTCGAGTGCGCATCTCAGTGCGTGGAAAGCCTCGGTACGCGTGAATTCTCCGGCCGAGTCGAAAGAAATCGCGCACACTCCCTCGATTACCTCGACGTTAACGATACGTGAGATAAAATGTGAGATTTGTAGTCGAGTATAAAAGAGGAAAAGAACGAAACGTACGGAGGGAAGCATTCTCGCCAAGATGAAGTATCACCGGCGACAATGTATTCACTTGCTTCTGCAAGTGATCCTGCTCGCCGCGAATTGCCTCGCGGAAAACCTGACCCTTAGTATAAACTTCGAGAGGCGAATCTTCGTGACTAATGGAGCATTTCTCAGCCTCACCGTGGATCCGACGACGTTACTAAACCACATCAATGTTCTCACGTAGGTATCCAAATGGTAGAATGATCAAATAAGAGTTTCTCGAAAAAATATCGTGCGTATAGCTATCACACTTTTCGTTATTTTTGCAAGAGTCATTGACGAAATTAAATAAAATTAGAATCCAAATAAGATTTTAGATTTCAGTGTAGTTTCTGCGAGCCCTTCCGTGCTTGGTTCCGAATATAATTTATACACGGAAAATATTGGTATATTTTAGTATACTGTAATATCAATATATTTTCCTTCATCTATCTCTTTATCTTTCCTTTTCCTTCCTACTTCTTCACTGTTCTCCGTATTTCCGTAACTAATCCCTTTTTATAACACCATAACTTCTAATATCTATGTACTTTTTCTGCCCTGAATCTTGCTTTCCTAACTAACGTTTTGTTTCGCCTTCACTTATACATTATCTATACACTTATTCCTATATAATTTTCCCTATTTGACCCCCCATACTTAACTCAATACACTAAAATCGCGAGCGTAGCTTAGAGCGAACGCGCAGAACGACAATGTTCGATTAAACATGCATTATTACAATTCGTATTAATTTCTTAGCGAGAACATTGGAATCTGCACAAACATGGTGCAAGGCCTGGCACCCGCCTATGTCCGTTTTGGAGGGCCATGGAGTAACTCTTACATCTACGACCGTGTCGACGTCAATCCAAACGACATGCTTCTCGGTAAGATAGTTTTTCATCAGACTACTGAATCGCCGATAAGACATGAAAAATCGATGCTGCTCGAGAGCAACATTATTGGATAAAGAATTAACACATTGATTGTCACAAAGATTTCCGTACATCATACAAAAACTTAATTAATGATTCAATCAATAAAGACACAGTAAATTATCCTTTATATCGTCTCTATTAGGTCTCTATTGGCCGTGCAACCGAGTTTCCAAGTGCAATTAATTACACTTTACACACGTAGCTCAACGAGACGCGATATATATACACGATATCGTAGCGCCGGTCATAGATGAGTGATGTACTGACAAATGTGTGCTCGGGCGCCAATTGTTCTCGCGATTTTGGAATTTTCTGCAAAGCGATCGATTTTGCGTCAGCCGAACAAACGGGGGAGAAGCTCGATGCGACGTGAATCCCCGGATTGCCGTATTATCGCATGGTATCTTTTGAGGAGGTTCAGTCCAGCGTGGATATCAGTTGACCGGCTATCGGCGAGCAGCGCTAATTAAAATACCACGTCGGCGAATTTTCACAGCTTTCGCAACTCGACCGGGGGCTATTATCTCGGCGGAGCTTGTCGACGTTACATTATGACACCCGCCGCGCCAATGGAACGTACGGACGCTCTCGCTATCAAGGCTAATGGACGCGCCATATAACCGCCAGCCGCAACAAAATGAATTAACGACGTTAGTGTTACGTCATCGCGCACCACCGTCATGCATTGACATCGTCCTTGCTATCCTTTCAAAGGACGCGGCCTCTCGTCGCACGACCAGGAAATTTGGAAATTGCCGTATCCATTAGAGGCTCGTCGTTAACAATCAAACTAAAGCACCTCTAGACCTCTGTCTGCCATTTGAGGAGTCGAAACCGCGTGTCGAAATTTCCGTCTCGCCGGTTTATACCCCTTTTTTAACAATATGGCTGCCAGAGCGGCGTCGCACCGGCAGCTGGCACCGCAATTTCACCGCGTCTCATTAATTTACGAACGAAACGCGGTCAATTGCACTTAGGGAATCAAATGTATGGAGAATTAGCTGGTAAATTGGCTAATAAATCAGCTAAATGTTAGATAATAAGTATATGCAGCAGAGGAAATGTACCGTGACTTCGCTTATTCAAACTTCAGTCGAGCTTTGTAACAATTCCTGGAAATCAACAAATGTAATCAACGTTAACATTTATAACGTTGGCCGCGTACTGATATATGGAGATATGAGTGAATGAGAAACGTTCCGATTTCCTTCGCTCTTCCCCGTCTCTCCAGGCGCGTTCTACGAATTTTCTAACGTCGTTCTCGCGATTTTTCCAGAGACTCATTCGACACTGATACATCGATGGGCGGAGAACGCCGGATTGGACGTGATCGCGTGCATTTCCCCGCGCTACATCGCAGACAAGTCGGGAACGTGGGAGCCGACGAACCTGACGCAATTGCTTTCCTTCAACGATCGCATGGGTCACAACGTTAGCTGGCAGTTGGGTTACGGTAAGGCCGTCGGGAAACTCTGCGTGCGCCTCGCAAGCGAGAGAGTAACGAGCGTGATTAGACTGCGACGCGCTGTGAAATGTGTGCGAAATACTACATTTGTTCGCAGAATGCCAAACGAGATGTGACTTGTCGGGCGGCGATCTGGGACGATACGTCGCGAATTTGCGCGAAACGCTAAGAACCTATCCGAGATACTCCGACAACCTGATCACGGGCCCGGATATCGTGGCGTATGGAACGGCACAACAACGGCAATACCTTCGCGATTACCTGAGCAGCGCGGGTGATGCTCTCTCGGCGATCACGTGGCATCCGTGAGTGTTTTATTTTATCTCGAATTAATAAATTTGAATTTGTAATTAATAAATTTGTAAATTTTAATTTCTAATTAGTAATTTTGCAAATTTTAATTTCTAATTAGTGAACTTGTAAATTTTAATTTGCAATTAATCCATTGGCGAATTTTAATTCACGTGAATAAATACGGGTCGCGTGTGAGGATTCTCAAGCCGGCATTTATAGTGTTTAGTTGAAACTTGTTTCACGCGGGATATACTTAGATCTGTGAGCTTAGAGTTAGACCCGAATTTCTCAGTCGAATCGCGATCGTAAATCTAAGGTTACGTCTCACTAAGCTTCAGTAAAGCTCTGAGAGTTGGGAAGTAATGCGTTGATACTCGATTGCTGCTCGTTATCGAAGACTTTCTACGATCATTTCAGCGACTTTGCCGGCATCACTGTACACGGGAACGACATTTCCGTGCATTCTGACAATATGGCTTCCGAAAAGGATGAGCTATACAAAGTCATCGGTGATATCGCGCTGGACATGCCACTATGGATCGGTAAGAGAAGTAGCTCGAAACTCACGAGTGGCTATCTCTAAGAGATCGCTTGTGTTATCGCGTATCTCGATTTATAATTTACTCAAAATATTATTGTAATAGCGGAGTCAAAGCCGGAAGACTACAAGCATAGCTATCTAGGTGCACTTACATGGACAAGAAGACTCGGGAACGCCGCGAAACTCGGTGTGCAAGTTGTGATGAGGCAATTCTTGGAATTTAGTAGACCGACTCCTGTAAGACATATTATAATGTGGATTAAATTCGCGGGAAGAGGAAAGTTTAGAAACTTCAAGATTATCGAGCTCTTAGAAGCTTAAAGATTCACTCAAACTTTCGATGCTTTGAGATTAATACTAATTCAAATTAGAAATTCAAGGATTTTGAGGGAAGATGAGAAGACACTTATTTGTTAAACTAGATAAGAACGAGATATGCGTTAATAATATCGTTCCTTTCATCTCAGGATTACTGGGTATCCTTCTTGCATAAGGCTCTTGTGGGACGTGAAGTTTTGGAGGTGGAAGTTCAATCCGACGATGAGAGCCACGTGCACTTCTACAGTCAATGTACCAGACCGTCCGAGCAGTACGAGAAGGGAGCCCTCACAATTTTCGGGGTGAACTTAACGCCGAGAGAAGTGATCGCTAATCTGAAGGGTTTCAAGATCAAAACTCTCCATGAGTATATCTTGTCACCGGATTCTGCGGCTGGCAATAAAATGTTCACAAAGTAAGCTACGTCGTCGACGATACACATCAAATCCTACGGGAGATTCTTTCCTTTCGATTTTGAGAGAACTATTATTTCTTCTACAGGAGAGTCTTATTGAACGGCGAACCACTCAACTTAATAGACAACTTGAAGCTGCCCGACTTAAATCCAGAGATCGTTACCGATTCTGACGGTCTTCAACTGAAGCTCGCTTCTAACAATATAGGTTTTTGGGTTATACCCAACGCAAAGGTAAATATTATATCAATCATCAATAATCTATAACTTATATAATGTAAAATATTTACTTCGCGAATCTAACAATAGCAAATCATTTATTAAGTGCTACTAAATAATTAACTGAAATGATACCGATTGATCAAGGTAAAAGCTTGCACAAACGATGAGGAGGGAACAACCAAGGACATTGCAACAAAGAAAATATCGAAACGACATATTACTCGACAAGTCGACGAAGGAGAGGGACAAGAAAAAGAAGATATAAATTCGTCCAATTCAAAAAATCGAAAGCTTCGTGCCAAGCAAGAAAGAATAACGCTTAGAAACGACAGAAATGAAATTCGAAGAAGGCTCTCGAAAACTAAATTATATAAAATAAAAAAACTTTTACAGAAAAGGCAGCAGAAAGAAGGTAATGAAACCTCTATTTTAGAAAAACCGTCCACGATTAATTTCACGAGAAAACAAGGGAGTGCACCCGAAGAGGCGGAAATACAGCAAAACATAGACAACGAACAATTCGAAAAAACAGAGAAACCTAATAACGAAACAAAAATCAACAATATACACTGGATTCAAGACACACCGGAAAAAAATAATTATACCCGGCTGAATAGAAAGTCTCGAGCGGAACATTCTTTCAAGCCAGAAATGCGTGACGTCAACAAAGCTATAACGCTGATATCAAAGATCGAAGCACTGCTTCAACCTGAGAAAGAAGTTACGTCGAACGACGTCAAAGACGAAATAAGAAATTCAGGAGATACTGTAATTGGAATGAATGGGGAAGTTAGTAAGAAGTTTGGCGAGCTAGCGGAAAAATCTGAAATCAATACAATCGAGGAAATCGAAAAGTATCTTAACGTTTTTCACGATTTATTAGAAAACAACGAATTAATTACCACAAATGTCGGGAATAATCAAATTCCTATTCATGAGAGTTTGACGAACAAGAAAAGACACATCAGAGACCTAAGCAAGAGGTCGGAGGGCTCCAGGAAGGATATAAGTGTGAGGCACCGGAGAACAGGCGACTTAGAAGGTTGGATTAAACGAAAGATGAAAAAAAGGATTGATGACAGGAAGGAGACGTCGCCTGCTGCGTTTGATTTGAGGAAATTGAATCGCAGAAGTATCCTTCATAGTTTGTTTCGGCGATATCCTTTCAAGAGGTTCCTTCAAAGTAATAGCTATGGCGACTCTCAGCAATCAATATTCAACATTCAGGAGCGCGGAAGACCGACGAGAGACGTGGATAGATTAACCGAGATAAGCGCGAGGAAGGACGGTATCTTCAGGAAGCGTGCGAAGTTCGATGACATGAGAGATCACGTGAATGAGAAGAAGTCAAAGCGGAAGGACGATTTTAAATGGGAAGTACCGTTGAGCCTACTCAATCCAAGAATCGTAGGCAGCCTCGAGAGCGGCTTCCTCCGACGAGATCCTATCAAGGGATTCCCTGAAGGCGATGTTTTTGTCACCACAGGTGTGTCGGCCGAGCGCAGCGGCCTAGACTACGTGGAGGATGACGAGGATGACTCGGGGAGGAAAGACCAACAGCAAGAACGAGAATCGACGGTTGAAAGTGCCGAGGATTCTTGGATGGAGACCAATGATGATCGACGCGATTACACGCCGAATGAATTCTACGAGAACGTCTACTTACCGAACGCGAGGATCCGTGAGAACGCCAAGGACTACGATGACCTGTACGAAGCAGAGTTTGTCTTTGGCAATCGAGAAAATAATAAAGATAGCTCGGCCACGACAGATTATTTACAGCCATTCGATGAGGAGAAAACAAAGAGAATTGAAGAGAGAAGTGCGCAACAATTGGTGGACTACCAATCCGATAATTTCGAAGAAAAAGAATACAATCGGGATGCTAATTACGAAGTACCTGGATTTCACTTAAGTCTCTCGACGCCTCTTCATCAATTGACTGAAATTCCAGCTGCGAAGAACGATTTTACTAATTACCAAACGTCAGAAGTCGCCGAAACCGCCAGACAGAAATTACAAGAAGAATCGAAAATTTCGAGCTTCTTTTATCAACCCGCTCTGGACTCTTCTGCAAAAAACGATTACGGCAATTTCCAGGTTTCAATTATAAGACCTAACGTTGAGTACATGGGAAGTCCTATCAACAATAGAGACAATAGTTACAATAAAAGAAACAAAAGAAGCTACTGGAAAAATCTACAAAGACTCTTCGACGAGGAGATGATCAAGGAAGATCCAAGCAATGCCAAGGATTGCCGCTGCAGAGTTATTCGAGCTCATAACTCGCCAAAGGAGTATTACAATAATCGCAGGAAACGCGACCAGATGTCCGTGATCGAATCCGCGGCTTCAGAAGCTGCGGACGAGAATGCAAAAGTTAACCCAGACTTAGCGCGACCTGTAAGGAACATGCCAAGTCCTATTACGAAGGAGGAATTTGACAGAATTATGACAGGGGAGATACTTCCGAGTACGAGTGTAATCGAGACTGACTCTGATTACAATAGACGTGATGCCGTAACTATAAGATCTGTAAGATCAAGCAAGTCGCATCGTAGAGCAAATAAAGCGATGCAGACGATGGACGTAGATTCGACAATAGATGGTGTTCAGCCTCTTTTAGACACGAGCGATACTTCTGCGCAAAGAGTCATGGAAGAGCAGACGTTTTTTCGTGCCCAACCATCAGCCACATCGGCGGAAAACGAGGAAACGACGTATGATCCTGTTGAAGCTGCTATTGCGGTTTCTTCACGCAATAAGAAAAATCGGCAGGAACCTTTTGCATCCGAGAGTGCACAGCAAGCACCGGCCTATCTTTGCGAGGAGACGCAGGATCTGAAAGAGGAGACTCAACGAGAATCGACTGATGCAAGCACCAAAGACGGAAAGGAGAAAGGAGGAACATGCAGCGTCCGCGAAGACAGTTCGAAGCTAGCCGAAGAAACAATAAAAAGTATAGCTCAAGAGCAAATGACGACGGAAACGTCGAAGCGTGCAGCGCGCAAAACGATCGACTCAAGATCGAACAAGTCGAAAACTAGGAAAGAATCCAAGGAGTCTCAGCAAAGCGAGAACGAGCCGAGCCCGAGTGACAAGTACAGAGATCGAGCGCGCGTGAGAGAAAAAAACGACCTGAGGACAATAACGTCCGTGGTACAGGATTTTCCGAAGACGCAGTTGAAAGACCTCGCTAGGTACGAGGAGTACTTGGTGAGGCGCAGAGAGCTGATTCAAAATCTGAAGGAGAAGTTGAAAGAGAGACGGCAAAAGAACCGCAAAGACCCGGCGAAAATCGCCGACGAACTGACGCGGAATCTCACGAGAAGAGAGGCGTGGGAGAGGTTCTACGAAAACAGCGATCTCCGTCAGTCGATCGACCAAGAGAGGCTACTTAGATTTCTAGTCAGCGATATTGAAACCCAAGCAGGTAACGAAGGCGACGATGACGACAACGACGTGAAGGACGAGGAGGACGAAGAGGACAGGTATCTTCCCGTTCAGTTCGTTCCCGAGCGATACGACAGTCCGCGAGATCAAACCTATTCACGCGCGAACGTGAAGCATTATCCGGAATATTATTCGCATTATTACTACTTGCAACACCCGAAAGTCACCAAGGTCGAACAAGAGCCCGTGACATCGTACGCGACATCAACTTTGGGTCATAGGATATTCGCCATCGATCCCTCGACGTATTGCGGTGGCGAGCCGGTTTTGGAACTGCACGAGGAATACTTGGAACCTGCCCCAAAATATTCGTCAAAAATAAAATTCCAAACTCCGGCTCCGAGGTGGCCGCTAAACGACTTCTATCGACCTCTCGTGAGACCAATAAAGGTTTATGGAGATCAACGGACTTTCAAGCCCTATGACAATTATTACGGTCGAGAGTACACGAGAAAGTCGCAGATTAAGGACGCTCGTGAACGAGAAAACGCTGTCGCCTTGTATCTTCTGGATAAGCACCGGCAATATGACTTACCGGAGAAACTCGCCGAACTCCCACGAATTTATTTGAGCGTTCTTGACAGGCGAGATATTAATCAAGCTACAAAGGATAAAACGACGAGTGACTCGAGCAACGACGATGCGAAATCCGGGCTTACAACGACTAGGAAAGTTGGTCTGCCAAAAGAGATCGACGAGGAATACACGGGAACCAACAAATATACGCAACAGGAGGAACTTGGCGATTACTATAATGAAAATGTTGGGGAGGAGATTGATAGGTCCCAAGAGATAAACGATGAGGTTGACGACAGTACAGATACTGATGCGTCTAAGATGAAAACCCAAAATGCCGAAGAAAGAATTGCTGATGGCGATTTTAAAACTAGCGAGCTTCTCGACACTTGGAATACTACTCCTCGCAGTCCAAGCAAAGCTATAAAACAAATGGCCGACAAGTCTCGACAGCGAACTCGGTATGTCACGTGGTATAATTTATTTGATCAACTTTACGTTTGATTGCCAATCCTTGATTTTATTTCGATTACCAACATTAATTTAAAATTTCTTAATCTTTTAAAGCTAACATTTTTCTCCCAAAAATATTCCTGATATAAAATAATTTTAAATGTTAAAGCAGAAGTACCAATGTGTGCTCGAACATATACTTAATCCTGAATATTCTTATTGTTTTGGTGTTTAAATATCTTAACGTACGCAACGTATATATACAATATACAGAGTTGGCAAAAAGTCCGGAAACGGTCAAATATCTCGAAAAAGATCAACTGTAGCGAAAAATATGTAAGTAGCAAAGTTGTAGGGCTTAATAAAATGTACCTAATGAATAACTTTGTTTTTCGTGTCTCGAGCTAAACGATATGACCGGCTTAGTTGTTCATTCGCTCTCATCGAACGCGGTTATTCATTCACGACGTAATACCACACGTATTCAGTCACAACTCGCGCATACCCGCGCTTCACGATAACGCTTCTCGATCTTTGTATTTTAAAAACGAGTCGTGCTCTCTCGCATCTTACTCTTTGTCTTTTCCCTTTCTTTTTCCAACTACAATTTCAAATTTCTTTTTTAAAAATGTTAACCGATAAAGAAAAGATAATGCTGTTTCTTTATCGAAAATTTGGAGACCATATTAGATCATACGAAGAAATAACTGATCTACACATTCAATGCTGCATATCCTGATCGCAATTTTATTTCTAAATCCACCGTTCAAAAGACAGTGATACGTTTTTACGAAACAGAAACAGTTAAAGACCAAAATCCTTTCAAGCCTCATTACTCTAAATATGCCTAATAAAAAAATACTTTATTATAGGTTTTTGGAAAGCCCTTGAAATAAGCTATAAGAATATGTAATAAAAAGTGGGGAGTCCAATTTAAAAAATTCAATTTGACCTTCGTATGACCTTCGTCCTCCACCCAAAGTCAAATTTTTAGCCATCATTAGGTACATTTTATTAAGCCCTACAACTTTGCTACTTACATATTTTTCGCTACAGTTGTTCCTTTTCGAGATATTTCACCGTTTCCAGACTTTTTGCCAACCCTGTATATATATTTTTTTTATGTTAAAAGTTTAAATATTCGTATTTAAAGACTAAAACAATAAGAATGTCCAGGATTAGATAGGTATTCAGGGCATTCTTTCTTATCTTAATATAAAATAATAATTTATAAAATATGAATTTTCTTACGTGCGCGAGCAGACGAAGCAGAGTAGACGCGAGAACCGAACTGGATCACGACAAGTACATCTGCATGAAGGAGGAGGATTCCAAGGAGATATCTAGCGAACAGTCGATACCACTTTATCAGCTGACAAGACTTTTATCGGACGCGGTTTTGTTTCGCAAACTAAAAGACTACGCGACCTTCTCGAGCAAAGACTTTGATAGGCAGGGAGAGAAACAGTTCTCAAAATACATGATCCTTATGCCCGATAAAATCAAAGACGTTCACTCGTATGAAATGTCAGAAGCGAAGAATTCCGAGAGATCCTCGAAACGTTTCGAAAAGTCGCGTTGGTTTAACCGATACCTACCGAGAAGAATAACGAATGCCGTAGTCAAATACTTGAATGATGTATCTTCGGAAGAACTCGAGTACGACTATTCTCTGGATACAAGCGGAAGTGTTGAGAAGATCTGGGACGAAGAAGTTTCGTATTCATCAGATTATTCGAACGAAAGCAGTGAGAGAAGGCGGAAGGCTGCCAAAAACGTTGCGGAGATCGGTCGCGATTCGAGAGAGGAAAATCAACAACACGGAATAAAAAGCAAAGAATCCCACGGGCATTTAAAAATGAAGGACCAGATGCAATACGAGGAGCATCGAGCATTTATGCCGCTTCCCGAGAAAAACGAGAAAACGAAGAGACAACGAAGACAAGTCGAGATCAACGAGGTAAAAATGTCGAATCGGTTATCTAACCAAATTTTTCGTGTATCTTTACCTTTTTGTTTATTTTCATCCTGCATATTATTTTAGTAACTTTATAATTTCTTTGCACTTATAGACGAAATAATTTTGAAATTCGAATAGCAAAAACAGATTTCAGATTTTCGTTTCGAAAGCTCTTGGAACAACGTTATCTGATGTAAAAAAAAAAATAAATGTAACATGTTTTAGAAATTGCATATTTTTTACTACTGCTACATATATTGAAGTTACAATCAGCTTTATACGATTCGTATCATTCTATCTCACGTGAGATCTTTCCTTCTCAACGTCAACTTTCTTTCTCCACAGGAGGAACCAAATAAATCCATTCTGACCAAAGACGACAACGATCAATATTATTTACAACGGAACAGTATTGACAAGAAAGGCACAAGTACAAATTATCTGCACTCTCAAAAGGACGGAAGAATTGGCGATGATCTTCTCGAGGACTTTGCGAAATCCCGAAAGAACGTTATCACTTCTACGGGAAATCAAGGAAACAATGAAAGTTTAGAAAATACCATTGCGAAAAGTGACAAAAAGATGCCATCCTTCATGGAAGAAACGATTCCGAACTTACAACGCGTCATTGTGGATGGTTTGGAAAAGGCGAAGGATCTCACGGAATCCGTGGAGCAATTTGTCGATCATTTCGAGGAGGACTTTAATGAGACTTTGGCGACGGACGAAGAGACAAGCTCGACAAATAAAACTTCTGAAAGTACCAGCAATCCTTTCCACTTAGCGATTATAAATTTGAAGAAATTGTTCACGCTTTTCACAGGAATATCTTGAATATTGCATGTATAAATTTTATAAATTTAATATAACGTAATATTTCTGTAACAATAACTCTGATTTTTAATATATAATATAATATAAATTTAATAAATAATTGTGACATTTATATATAATGTTATCTGTAAAATATTTTTAATATATATAAAACGGTTTATATATTCTTTATATTTATATATTGTCACTATAAGAAAAAAAATATATATGTATATATATATATATATATATATATATATATATATATCTGGACGATAATTTAATAAAATAAAGAGACTTGTGCAAAAATGTATTGATATGACGTAATATTATTTATAATTTATCACAACGGAAAATCATGAAACTAAAATAATAAATAAAAATTATGAATTTAAAAAAGTATTGAAAATAAATAAATAGTAATGTTTCAAATAATTAATGTAATTTAAGATTATTACTTAAAACTATATAATTTAAGATTATTACTTAAAACTTAACAACTTAAAATCATTGATGCAACTTTGTAAGATAAAAAATATCAAGATTTCCGATTTATATTTATATATAAGATTTATATTTACTAATTAATGAGCTCATTAAAATTATAAAACCGCCGAACCAGCTGATATCAACTCACAAAATGTAGACATGATCTTTTAATTACTACTGCGACTGTGTATGTCAGTTAAGGAAATGATCAGTATATTCGTGGAACTGAGAGAAAATACCACAATAGCAATCAATTTTTGAGAAACCAGGTCACGGTGTCGCTGCTCCTTGAATATTGATTGTAATCAACGTTGTACGTATACATATACTCATTACGACATAATTTTGAGCGACGAGCGAGATTTCGTAATAATACAACGTCAAAACGTGTGTGTAATCACTGTGCCAAATTATTCAGTACATCTTTGATCATGATTGAGTCCACTTCGACTTCTGGGACATCAGTGGAGAATAAGTTTCCTTGCACATTCATTTATTACTACTTATATGAGTATTAATCACTGCAGTAACTGTTATCTCATGTATACAGTAACAAGAGACGAAGTTTGTGCGATCAAATCAAAGAGCATGGTATTATCAATCACTGTTCATCGTAAAATCAGTGTGCTGCAGTAAGCAGGATCGGCGATGTACGAGAAAATTGCTTTGATCGTTTCGATATTGTTCGCGATTACGAGCTCGGGGGAAGTTTCTCCTGTCAGAACGGAAGTGTGGGATGCGGATCTCTCCGATTCAAGGCAAGTCATAATTCGCTGGCTAAATGAAAATATTAAATTTACCGAAAATTGTATCATTTTAAGACTTCTTTCAAATTAATTAGAAAATAAACGTTGTTGCTTTAACTTTTTGCTCTTGTAAACCGAGTTCGATTTTTGAAACTACACTCGAGCCTCGCAAATATCAAAGTATGTTAAATGTCATTGCACCATTGTTTACGTAAACGATTTTTGCATCGCGTTTCGCATACGCACATGCTGAGTTAAGAATTTTGAGCCTAGAGTTGCTAAATTTTCCAATGTCAACGTGAATCATGGTTGATTTTACGTTATAATATCAATAATTAATATTATATTACAATGTGTAATTAATATTACATTACAACGTTAAACATTGTAATTAATATTAGAACTAATATTAATTATAACACATGTAAAAGTAGGTTGTCATCAATATTTTCCCTCCCATCAACACGCAACGATGACACGCAACATTTCACGGAGACGAAGGCAAACCGAAAATCGGTCTTTTTATTAGCACCATTGTCGCAGAAACGATCTGAACAACGACAACCGAGGGAAGCGACTCGGAAGACAAAGCGTTGCAGCACGCATCTTCGAAGGAACAGGCTCTCCTCGGCGAAAGACTTCGCCAGAACGAGAGATTCAAACGTGAATGTTCACATGAAGAACACTTCCAGAGATATTCCTTATGTTTCCGCGATAAATACAAAATACTCAACCGAAAGTCCTGCGACTACGAGTTGGACAGAGATAAGCAACGAGGACGAAACGCTCCTCCGCGCCCTCCAGGACAGACTAAAGAACGCACAGGAGTCTACTGTGTACGTGGACTCCCAAGAAGAGACGAGGAGATGCAACAAGTTCGTCTGTTACTGCCAAGAAGAGAACTGCGTGCAGAAATCATCAAAGACCGGCTCCTCGCGGATGTTAGGATCGTCCAGGTGGATAAAGCCCGAAAGTATGAACCACCGACACGAAAACGTAAGACCGATTCTCGACGCGAGTGTCCTGCGCCCAGGATCGTCCAGATGGTACCACGGAGCTCGCCATGACCCGCGTATTCTCAGTCCGTTCCATTCAATCCTGGTGCGAGCCCACCAGAAATTAACGCATCCTGCCTTTTTTGCGCCGCTTCTACACGAAGTACCGCTTGTTGCGCCTCACATGATCGGGAAAGGCGGGAAATACGCCAATTTCCCGTACAGGTCATTCGAGAGCAGACCTGATTTCATCATCGGAGACAACGTTCATCGTCGACGTCGACCGATTTCCCACCAAGGCTTGCAGAAGTACCGCCACTCGTCACAAGAAAATCGATTCGACGTCTCCACCGTGTCGACTACTTCAGCTTGGAGCAACGCCGAAGCAATCGACTCGAATGAAGAAAACAGCGCCACGGAGTTCCCTACTTCGTACAGAACGAATTACCTGGATGGACTAATTAGTCCTGTGACAGAGAGTAATGTTGAATTGAAGGATATCATCGAGATTAACGAAATAAACGCAGCAGAGACCCTTCCGAGATTAAGTGCGGCGTTCTCGACGGATCACGTCGCTTCGACAATCGAAACAGGAACGAAGGATTACTTCGAATCCTATTCTTCGAGCGGAACAGTTGGAATGGATTTGATAGACGAAGAGTCTCCTAGATTCGTCACGACGCCGGAGATAAGCTACGCAAACGCGAGAACTGATTCGGAGACGAGAAGCGAACTCAATCCGTATTACTCCGAGACAACCACGATGAGCGCAAGTATGGATCAATCGCAGTCGTTCACAGATCTTTTTAGGGAAAAAATGTTGTCTTGGACAAATAGACCAGAAAAAACGGAAAACAGTTTTGACCAGAGAATGAACGATTTTGTATTAACGAGTACTGCATCGTACGAATACACGAGGCAGCCTACGGAATTTTACGAATACGTTCAAAGCACCGAGCGAACCTACGAACCAAATGAGGATTATGATGACTCAAACGAGAACAAATTATCTAGCGTTAACAAATATATCCCGATGAAGAAACTGACGGAGCAAACGATCGACGAGGATCTCGAGGAGAACACGAGAGGTGGATCGTTAGGGAAGAGTAAGAGTCATGCGACGAAAATGCTGTTAGCTCAAAGTTACGACGGAGGATCAACCACAGAGAATTCGCCGGCAGGCGAGAAGTTCCTCTGTTCTACGATCTCGTACGAATGTAACGAGGACGTGAGCGATTTGACGACGACAAACGCGATCCGTGGAAATTCATGGACGAGTGGTCTTCCATTCAGCGGAAGAGTCTACGAAACGACAACTCCTCGTTACGAGTCTACGACCGATCGTAATTCCAAAGAGGGAACCGCGAACATCCTGATGGAATCAATAACCGGGAGAGCGACTCTTCAAGACCTTACGACGGCACAATACTCGAATCGTGAAAAAACGACCGACGATGATGGAGGAGAGCTGGAGTACACCACCGAGAGTCTCGTAGGGATCACCGAATCGTCGACGAAGGGATTGCCATTCTACGACAACTCTTTATTGTTAAGTTCCATCAATAGAGTTATCAACAACTTCGCGTCGAGTGACGACTTAACGAAGACACAGGACCTCGACGAGGACACTCTTCGGACGCAAGGCGAGAACTTGCTGCCAGAAATCCTGCAGATCCCGGACCTAGGGGATATCCTGTCGACACCGCGGATAGAGGACACGATTGTGACGAAAGTGAAAGGTGTTCTATCCAATACCAAGAGCAAGTCGAACTCCGCGGACGGTTGGTCGTGCAGTGCGATCAGGAACGCGCTACGCAGACTATTGAAAAGTTTCCGCGGTTTTCATCGTGAAAGGAAACTTCCGTCGATGACGGTCGAGGAACGTCAGTTCGACCATGGACAGTGGCGCACCAAATTGGTGACCTTGCCGCCCGTTCACGAGGACAATTCTGGCAAGCTGTCAAAGACGTCGGGACGCCTGCGAGAGGGCATCAGTGACCTTCTAGGAATCCCGGCTATCGCTTCGCAAACGGATCGGCAAATCGTGCGGAATATGATCGTGCAGAGTCTGAAGAATAGCTTGGCCGACAACGGGGAAGGCGAAGACGACGGTCCGGAAATAAAGGACTCGATAATCCTTGATGCTTTGAACAACGCGCTGCAGATGATGAAAGGATCGAAATGTATGAGGGCGAAAAACGCGCTAAAGAAAGGCAACGAGAACCATAAACACGAGTCTATCCACGACGAAGGAGACGCGAGTATTCCGCGAAAGACGTTGACGCGCTATGAGAACAAAGGTGACTACAAGATGGAAGGAAATGTCGAGCAGCAGGTATCGAGCGATGTGAAACACTTCCAGAAGAATACGCCGGTGGATGGTAGCGGGACACGACGAACGACGAACTATCAGAAAGTTAAGAAATTGAAAGTTAAGAAATTGAACAACAATCTCAGAGTAGTAACTACTTGCGAATCTGCGGATTTAATGAAATCCGGAAAGTATGAAGAAGAAACTATGAGTCTGACTGAGAATCCACTTTCAGGAGCAACTACGATTTCATCGATGAACGCTGCAGCTTTCCATGAAGAAACAGGGAATGTCCTGAATTCGATGTCGACGATAGAAGACGTACAGCAGAACAACGAAGAGATTCAAAACGGTGAATCGTTGGAGCATATGACGAGTCATCAGCGATCTTCTAAGATATATCAACAATTTGCCGAAGTAAGTCAGCAACGTTCTAAAGTACGCGTCCCTCAGAAAATAACGGGATGCGCGACTAAGGATACCTACACGACGGAAGGAACCGCTCGAGACAACATCTTAGGCGAAGCGGAGCGCGTTAGTGAACAATACAACGAAACCGAGGAGCCATGGAGAACAACGGACTCTACGAACGACAACATTCAAATGACAATAGCTTCCGCGCGGTCAGATCTGCGGGCGAATGGATTGCCCGAGACGTTAAACGAGAAGAGCAAAGTGGAAATTGAAACTATCACTGTACTGAATGAAACGACACCTTCGATCTCGCGATTTGCAGAAACAAATACGCAGGAGAACACAAGGGAAACCTCGAACTACGCGTTCTCGAGAAAACCTAGTAAGATCTCGTACTCGAAGCCGGAAATCCCTTCCGTCCCGAAAATAACGAGATGGTACGACGAGGTGGCAACTGATTTCGATGGAACCACCACCGAAATGGCGAAACAAAATAGTTTCACGCAAGTCAGCACGACAAACTTTCACAACTTTCCCCTTAACGGGCAAAGCGACGATGAAGCGACGATGGAAGAGCACTTTCCTGAGTACGACGAGGCGGATCCAACGATGATGCGCGCGACGAACGACATCGACGCACCGCCGATCAATTATTACTCGCCGAATGATAGAATCTTGGATTACGTGAAGAATCATCGTGTCGATAACGAAGATGAGACGGCGACTGCAATCGTGAGTTCTATGCGGAAATCGTCATCAGATCACGCGCGGCTGTCCAACAAAGCAACTTTGAACAAGAACACGGCGGCTGCTGCGAACGTGAAACACGAGATGAAATACACGTTAAGCGAGAACGCATTTTCACGCGGCGAGAATACAACAAGTGACTCGATTTCGCCCGCGAACGCGAACGATTACGGAAGTCGAAAATCGGAAGTCACTGTCTCCTCCTCCCCGATGAACGCGGGCTCTCTGCCGTCGCAGCGAAGGAAATTCCCGGGGGACGTGATTAAAATTCACGAAGTCACCACAGAGGTGCAGAAGACCTACGCGAAAACAGTGTACTTCCAACCGCGACAGTCCGATCCCGAGAACGACTCGAGGATTAATTCGCCCGTGATTGCTTACGAAGATACGATCGTTGCAAGTAGCAATGATTATTTCGACAGAAATAGCAATAACAATGACGACAGCGACGATTCAAGTGATAAGAAAATCAACAACGTCGGTGACGTTGCTATAGAAGAAGAACAAGCGGACAAGAACATGATTTCCGCTACTGGACCGCCACTGGAAGACATTTCTGACATTCTTCCGGTGTTTCCTTCTCCCATCGTTCCCGGAGATAGTATTGAGCAGCTCCAAAGATCGCAACTTTACTACATCAGCGACGGCGTGAAACTACCGTTGGAAATAAGAAGGTTGAAAGATGGTACTTATGCGTTGTTGATCTCTAAGAACATATGCGAACAAATCCTGAAGAGAAAATGTTGCGTGCCGCTGCAAGGACACGTGATCCAATCGCCGAGGCCAGACACGCGCGCGAATAATGTCGAGGAAGATTATCAGTCGGTCGTTCAACCGTTAAGTTCAACAACCACGCTGAGAAATACATTGCAAAAGTTGGAGGAAGAGACGGATGAAAAATTAAATGTCTATCATCTTTCGAACTATCGTAGGAAGCGGGGTTTAATTGTCGATGACAATTCGATGGCCACCGTCTCGATGCCAGTTCTCGATTTCGCGAGAAAGTACAACTTGTCACTCGACTTCGATGAGAAAGACATGGCATTGAACGAACTTAGATCGAGCGGAAAAATTCGGAACTTCGGTGACTCGTTAAGACAGTTAGCTGAGGAATCAGAGTACAATCGATTGAACGAAAAAAATCTCAATGGTTATTCCAAAGTGGAGAAAAGCGGATTACACGAGGAACAGAATGGTAAAGTTGAATTCCAAGGTTCGACGAATACTCGAAACAATAATGTTTTAAGAGAAAATATCGAGAGTTTAAAGAAACCTAACTTGCAAAAATCTCATGCAAATGCAAGTCTATCGACAAAAGTCAAGACGTCAAAACTGCGTAAATTAGAAAATAAAGATAACGATAATCAGCGGACGATAAATCAGATAATGGACTCCAGCAACCAAGTGAGCAATTCTATTTCCAAAGGAACAGACATTTTTGAAGAACACTCAAATTTCAAAAGCGACGAGATGAAATGGGGTAAGTTATCAAATATTAAAAAAGTATATTAAAAAATATTAAACAATATATCAAAAAATATATTAAAAAGAGAGAGTATATTAAAGAGAATATTTATTATGCGCACACTAAAAAGCTAAGTATTAAATTTGTGCAAAAGATTTATCATTTTTTATTTAACTTTAATTTGTCATTACATGCCTAAAAAACATCAAGTCAACGTTAATCACTTTATTTGCAAAAATGATTAATCCTTCGAAACTGGATTACGTTTTCTATTTTATTTGACAAACATGCCAAACCTTTTGCATCAATCTAATATTTAAATAACTATTTGAATAACTATTGTCTATTCATACGTTTGTATCTCTAAATAATGTATGATAAAGATTATTAAGTCGTATTTATCGTGAAAACAGTCAATAATTGAATCGTCTCCAAGTCGTCGTTTCGTTTAGTCAATTCAAACATCCCAAAGTAGAATTACTTGGAAACAAAATAAATTAATTTTTTTTCGTTGGGCATTTACTTATAAACAATAGTATTAATGTTAATAAGAAACACAAGAAATAAATAAATTTAATAATTTTGTTTTAGGAGACTTTGAAATCCTCGTTAAGAAGAGAGGAGAGATACCTGAAGAGATAAAGTTGGTTAAACTAAAAAGGGACCAGGGAAATGAGCAATACATGGAGCAACATAATGAGAAAAATAAACTCAATGTTTTAAAAATGAACGTTCTCAAAAATATGAATGAAAGGCCATATAGATATCAAAGAAATACGAACAGTGGCCCAAATAAAGGGACTGAAATAGTTAAAAAATTTCTCTATTGGTTTAAGGACCTTTTTTTGAACAAATAAATCATAAGGAATAAAACTAAAAAAAACACGCACACACACTCTCTTCCTATCTCCCTTTCCTCTCGCTCTCTCCGTCTTTTTGTTAAATATTTTATGATATTCTGCTTGTATGCATATATATAATTTACGTTACAGATATCTAGTATAAAATTATTTTAAAAGAAAAAATATTGTATAATATCTGTCATTAACTTGTATAATTTAGATTGTTTTATACAATTGGAAAATAAAATATTTTACACTTATTTACTTCAAGTTGTATTAGAAATAAAAGGTCTGACTCGCGTTGTACTACTTGAAAATAAAAAATTTCTCTTTGTTTTAAATATAAAAAAAAACAATCTCTTTGGCATGCGTTCCAACACACGGCTATGTCTCTTTTTCATTACCTTTACGTATTTATGTATATGTATCATTCTAAATCATACTCACTAAGTCAAACTATTCAACTCAAATGTTATAAAAGTTTGTTTTAGAAAATATTCGTTTCAATAAACGAAAAAGAGTAGTATTTCTTTTCCTCTTTCTTTTTCTCTTATGAAAAAGCGAGATGGACAAATCTAACTCGAGAGCAATCGTCGAACTATCTCATTTCTCTCACTGTAGACGTTACCAAACAAATCTTATGCTTTCGTACAAACGTAGACATAGTTAAATGAATATTACGTACTGTTAGTATTTCGCAGTCTCCGCTTTCAGCTGCTGTCGCCGTAAACAACAACTCTGAATCGAAATACGACTCAACGGCTGAAGGCCATCTTCCTACTTTCAAATGAATTGGGTGCTCAAACAAAAAACGGATAACTTGTGCTGCCACCAAACTGTTTGAGCTAAGGCAGAGAACGAGACGTAAGCGTCGTAATCGTAGACGTAAAGGCAGAGAAAAACGTAAACGTAAGTCATGAAAGTCATATTACCCATATAGCACAAGATTTAAAAGATATCCCAAAGACATCCAGAGGATTGCTAAATATCCGCATAAGTCCTCAGAATATTCTAAAAATATTCCGAGGATTTCTAAATGTCCACACAAGTTCCCAAGATATCCCTTCAAGATCTTATGCTATGAGGGTTAGCCTTATGTTTACGTTTTTCTCTGTCTTACTTTATGTCTACGGCCGGTATTCATAGTCCAATCTTATGGGAGCGTTCCAATTTACCACGGTACGATTGGACACAACCAACCGATGAAAAGAATTATCTAGTGAATTACTAGGTCGAACCAATCATTACAATCTGTGTCCAATCGTATCGTGGTCAATCGGGTCCCACCCCAATCTTATATTTAAGATCATCTTAAGGGCTATCGCACACAAATTGACATAACTGCATATGCATAGCATAAGATCGTATGAACCAATGAGCATCGAATATTAAGCATCGAACACCAATATGGCGACTTAATACTCGATGCTCATTGGTACATATGGTCTTATGCTATGCATATGCAGTTATGTCAATTTGTGTGCGATAGCCCTAAGTACTGTCTTAAGATGTCATGAACCAATCACAGAGCCGTATTCGCATCTTAAGACATTACTTAAGACGGTCTTGAAATAAGATTCGACTATGAATACCGCCCTACGACTACGACGCTTACGTCGGCTACGTATTATCTAAAGATAGTTATCTAAATCATGACAGTTAGTTGTCGGTTCTTTCAGTAACTAAGGGTGCCGTCCCATTGAACACGCATCGAAATGCCGGATCGGATTTCTTACTATAATGAGCGTTCCGTTCTCTAGTTTCGTTCCGTAAAAGTTTCCTCTACCAGTCCCATGTAGCAAAAACGGAACGGAATGGCGCGTCGGTCGCAAATAAATATGATTAATTCGTCAATATTTCGTTATTTTGACGCGACAGAATTAATTATATACATAATTTATGCAATTATCTTGCCGATAACATTGTCATGAATATTCTGAAATATTTAATTGAAGAGTGAAATATATTTTATAACTAGAAATCCGTTCCGTTTTTGCTACATGGGACTGGTAGAGGAAACTTTTACGGAACGGAACTAGAGAACGGAACGCTCATTATAGTAAGAAATCCGATCCGGCGTTCCGATCCGTGCTCAATGGGACGGCACCCTCACACAGCACAATCACGATTCACACTTACTGAGAAACGATGCGCCAGATTGAAAAAATCTAATTCTCTAAATACCGGAAGTGTAAGTTCCGATCTACAATAGGTAATTTAAGCTCTAAGCTTTAAGAAATTGACCAATCACAATCAAATTTGAGGAGAATAATCGACTGTGATTGATCAATTTATTAAGGCTTAAAGCTTACTACATCTATTGTAGATCGGGACTAAGGACATTTATGAATCCTAGTATATTGATTTTATGTATATATAGATATATATTGATATTTAACAAGAGATGTATCAAAAGATGATATATTTCTTGATGTATCATCAAAAAATAATTCGACGAGAAGGAAGCCTCCCGAATCAAAAATTTAATTGGCCATTGTTATGCAAAAATGATCCAATTAAAAAAATTATAAGTTTTTATCAATGGATATTCCATTCATCTTTTTACACAAAATGAAAAAATTTAAGCTAACATCACCGCAGAATTTAATTAAGAGATGATTTTCTTGAACACAATCTCTCAATGTGACTATGGTTAAAAATACTACATTTCTTGGTAGCATAAACTGTGTTAAACAGAAAAATAACAGAGAAACAATTGACAAGAACGGGAGTGCTATAGCCCTTATTCTCAATTTTCTTTTGTTGATAAAAGTATCCCTTAAAAGTGGCTTGTAGTCAGTCAGAAAGTCTATGAGCTACTTTCATACGGGTCTTTTATAAAAAAAAGAGAGAGCTTAGAATAAAGATCTATAAAAATAAAGGCAAAATTGCACGTAGAGATCAGTTTTCGTACACGAATTTTCGTTTTGCATATATACAGCTTTCATTTTCAACTATTCACTTTTTCCTTCCCGTAATTTGAGTAGTGTGATTAATACACGCTTAGATTTATTCACGAGTCGTATATTATTTCTTCTCCCCAAAAGTGATTTTACCCCCCCCCCCCCCCC